CTAGTCAGTACTGCGGTGGGGGACCACGCGGGAATCCTAGGTGCTGCAGTTCATTTTTGCTTTTTCGGACCCTATTTCCGACATTTTTTTCCGAACCGCTTTTCGATACCTTCTGGTCTTTTCTTCACAGTCACATCAATGAGCCCGTGAAGGTTGTGTTCCCTGTGATCATTGTAAGCCTCCAGTCATATCAGACCCATATGTTGTTTTCAACCCAGCAATTGACGCGACAGTAACTGGAGGTGTGGTACCAGGGACGCTCCACGGAGGCAAGGATCAGGGTGGGGGTAGAGTTCGACCACGGTTTGCTCTTCCATGGGCGAGGTCAAGGTTGTACCAGGATGAGAGGTCCCGAACCATGCGATTGCATAGCCGCATTGCTGAGCTGCTGTGTCGGCGTATTCGGCGAGATCAAAAGATACCATCCGGTCGACGGTTTCCGTTTGCAGTGTCTATGTCGCAACAGCTGAGAAGAAAGTTCAAGACGCCGATGCTCGTTCTCGCGTATGGAGAGAGAAAAGCCCGATCAGATACGCGATGGTGTTCGGTGCGTCAGAAGACTCAGCCTCCTGCGTGACCTTCTTAGACAAAGGTACATTAAGGAATCCTTCCGTTCTCATCTCTATGTACCTCCATCTTACCATTGCGCCCACCTCCTGAAGACCATAACCATGTCAGGATCAACTCCCATTCCAGTCTGTATTGTGGGCTTCGGCAACTCGGCTCGCACCTTCCACATTCCCTTCGTACTCGCCCTGCCGCAGCTCTTCACCCTTCACTCGATCCAGCAGCGTCCGCGCAACCCAGCCAACGCCTCCTCATCTCCTGATGCTTCCAAGCTGTTCCCTAACGTCACTATCATTCCTGACTTTGACAGCGTTCTCACCACGCTCCCAAAGAACGGTCTCATCATCGTGACCACCACCAACGACACCCACTTCCCCTTCGCCAAGCGTGCCCTCGAGGCTGGATCCAACGTCCTCGTCGAGAAACCCGTCGCCACCAATCAAGCCGATGTTCAAACCCTCATCGACCTTCAAGAGAAGACTGGCAAGCTTTGCGCCGTCTACCAGAACCGTCGCTTCGATGGCGACTTCCTGACTATCCAAAGCTTGCTCTCTGACAAGGGAGCTGAGCCTTCTGCGCTTGGTGTGCCGACCTACTTCGAGTCGAGGTTCGACAGGTTCCGACCCTATGCCAAGGGTGGCTGGAGAGAAGAAGTTGACCCGGACACACAGGGCGGTGGTATGCTTTGGGATCTGGGAAGCCACTTGATCGATCAAGCCCTCTTCCTTTTCGGCCCTCCCCAGAATGTCACTGGTTTTGTTCGCAACCAGCGCAACCAAGGACCTGCTGCTGTCGATGACGACTGGCTTGCAATCCTCAACTACCCTGAGTCGGCACCTCTGCCTCCTTCTTCGCCTGCTGCCGGGTCCAAGATCGGCGGTCTCCGAGTTTCGCTAGGAGCAACATGTCTTTCGTCTCACGTCGATGCTGAGCAGCCCAGGTTTAGGGTCGAAGGCACACACGGAAGCTACGAGAAGCGAGGCACTGACCCTCAAGAGAACCAGCTCAAGTTGGGTTGGACTCCCTCCAGCCACCCTGAGGAGTTTGGTGTGTACAGCGAGACCAACGATCCCGACTCGATTCGATTCGGAAGATTGACGACCATGGCTAGGTCGAACAAGGATCTTTCCCTGCCTGCACCAGGTGCTGGTGCACCTAAGCAGCCTCAGTTGTCCGTCGCCAACATCCCTACGCTGCCAGGAAGGTACATCGACCTGTTTGCCAACGTTGCTGCCTCGATCAATGCTGCTAAGCAAGCCGAGGCGGAGGGGAAAAACGCAGCCGAGGCGATCCGGGCTGTCTCGCTGGTCGGTGTGGAGAGGGCTCTCAATGCTGTCAAGCTCATCAAATTGATCCGGGAGAGCAGTGTTCAGGGCAAGACTTTGCAATGGTCTTAGTTTGGCCATCTGAATATCATGGTGATGTAGTCATTAGCTGGTCTGGAGTGAGTCGTAAAGTCTGAATGTCTGGGTATCATTTTCAGTGTCTGTCGGTCTATCTTGGATCCGAAGCGGTTTGGAGGGTAGGAGGCTACGACTCGCCCTTGACGCGGCGCTTATAGTCTTCAGGGCTCTCGAACTTCTTTCCAAGGCTCCACATGCCGATATTTTGTCGTCTGTACAGTTCAAGGTAAGCTCATTGTCAGCATGAGCATTCTCTCAATCAATGTAAAGAAGCGTGCTGTTGGTGTGTGAACTTACTTTGCTTTTGTTTCTGCTCGTTCCAACGCACTCAAGCCGGTTGTTGACTTCCTCCAGAACTTGGCCCACCACGTTGCATGTCCATAGTCAGCTCCAGCAGCTCGGTACACCATCGCCCAGCCCTCCTTCACCATCGCTAGTGAGACGTTAGTCTTGCCGAACACATAAGGTGGCTCCCAAATATACGGTGTTGCAACCAACCTCTTGTACTGATCGATGTGCGATGGGTATAGCCAGACCAGCTTTCCTGAGATTTCGTTCGCTGTTGCTGACCCACTTGCTGGTGTCGTTTTGTCTGGAGTCGGTGAATAGAAAGTGAATTTGCTTGGAGGGGTCGTCTTGTTTGGTGTAGAGAGAGACTGAACCATGGAAGTAAGAAATACTTTCGCTTCCTTTGAGAATGGTTGTGCTGGTTTGCCGAAGTGACCGCTTTCAGGGGCATCAACGCCGGCAATGCGGACCGATATGGTCTCGCGTACTAGTCTGGATCGACCACCAGCACCACTGCCTTTGGTCTTCTTGATGGCCCGAGGCGGCCAAGGATAGAGCCAGTCACGTAGGTAGGGTGGACCCGGTGTGTGGTGGAAGCGGAAGCCATCGGCGTCTCCTACTGTGACAACGCGGCCGACCAAGACCTTGCGATAGCGAAGAACGGCAGGTGTGATGAACTCGGCATTTGGGATCCGTCGGAAGTAGCGCCACCAGAGGACAGCACCGAGAGAGGTGGTAGTGATGCCGGCCACTGCAGCGCCGATAGGGTTGGAGAGGCTCGTGCCGATAGCTCCTGTTGATTTCTCCACCACTGACCATACTGTGATCCTTGATCTGTCTGTTGACAGTGGTGAGGCCATTATCGTATCTGATGCTGAGCTTGGCCGTGAAATCGTTGTCTCTGCTATGTTGTTGGTTCGAGAAAGAGACGGGGATTGAGACGGAACATGTGTTGACGCTGACAGTTTCTATGATTCGGCTCTTCCGCTGGAGGCAGAAAGCATGGCAGCCTTTGTCTGCGGAGGCTGGATGGTGCTTCGGAAGCTTCTACAAGGTGGTTATGATCGTGATTGTGGTGTGTCAAAAACGAAGGGTGAGGTCAAGCTTGGACCTCGGCAAGGCTTCCCTAGGATGTGGTGCAGTTTGCCCACTCGAGCCCAAAATATCTCAGCTTCGAATTTCGCCGAAATCACAACACACGCTGCTGTTGTTCTCGAAACCAACACCTGCTCCATCACGCACGTGCCATTGCAAGTATATTTGGCTTACCGGAGCCCCTCCGCTCCACAACGGAAGGTCGCCAAGCAAGCAACAGATGACAGCTAGAATCGAAAAGCACGCTCTTTAGATAACTCAGCACCGTCGAAAACAGGGGTCCGCCCGAGAGCGAAGCCGTCTCTCTCGCCATCATCTTCTCAATTACAAGCAAGCACATGTAAGTTCACTGCTTGGCCAACTGTAAGCTGTGAAGAATTAAAGAATCCAACTTTGAGCTGCATTAGTCGAGCTTCCTGCCTCGATTCTTGGCTGGACCATGAGTGCTGACAGTGAAAGGCTCGAAAGGAGGAGCAACACCGCTTGAACCAGAGCTCAGCCCGATCTTCTCTCCATCACGCTTCTTCTGCTCGGCCAAAGCCTTGTCCCCGTTCCAGTAGTACACCACCTGTGCCGCAATAGCCGCATTGAACAGTGTCGCCAGTCCAAAGCCATACAGCAACAGCTTTTCGCTCGTCTCGGTCATTGTAGTGAAGACTCTGGCGATGGTTCCGAGAAGCTGCGCGAAGACGACAATACTGCTGAGTTGACCACGACTCTTGTCCTTGTATAGCTCGAGCATCTGTGGGACCTTGGACGCGAGCGAGATCGGGATTGTCAATGCCTGCAGGAAGGTCAAGGTAGAGTGGGTAATGACAGAAGGTGTAGCCAATGCGAGAGAGCCAATCGCCATGAGTGCAACTGCTACCGTGAGCTTGGTAGAGTGAGTCGATGGATCTACACGGCCCCACTTCGAGCTGGGGGTATAGGCGATGACCAGGAGCAAGATAATCATGTTTTGCAACGTCAAGCTCAAGTTTTCGCCGTATGTTGAGAATGGCAGTCGTGATCGAACAGCGTAGGCGAGCGAGATGGTGTAGGCCATCACTTCGAGTGTGTACATCGAGAGCGAGATACCTCGTGCACTTCGATTGTTGACAATGTTGAGGATCTGAGGCACCTTCATGATACTGCCGAAGACGACGATGCCCAACCCAAGCGCTTTCGAGATCGCATACTTGACGCAATGCGAAGAGCTAAAGTCGACATTGTAGACCAGCGTCGTATAGCATTCTTGACCGATCAAGCCAATGGCAGGTTTCTGTACGAAGAGTGACAGATTGTGTGTGACTGATTGAATCGCGGACTGCATGTCGAGCGAGGGGGATGCTGACTTGTCGCTGTTGCAAGCGTGGTCAAGTCGGGCCTAGAGCTTGCGGTACCTGAGTAAGCGAGTGACTGTGGTCAAGAAGGACGATGGACAGCCGGATGGAAGGACCCGTGGATGGCCAAGGCGCAGAGCCCGCTTTAGCCGCATTCCTCCACACGGGACACGGAACAAGGGCGCGCCTGTCATTCCACTTCCGCTCTTACATTAAAATTCTTTAAAAAAACACGCAAAAAAAAACAACGTTTAAAGCATATAATCAACTTTCGCAATGCTATCTCCTGCCAAAAACGTTGTACAACAACGGCAGGAAAAAAAAGTAGCACTCGTCGGTTTCGATCCGACGACCTTTGGGTTTCACCACTCATCAGAGTAGAAAGGTTTGTGTATGAGCCCAACGCGATACCCTCCTTCGCCAGAGTGCTCTTTGATTGCTTGTGGAACCTGAGAATAATTAACCATACATATACCGTAACAGAAACGATATCGAAACTCGCTTGTCGTTACGCGTGGAAATCCATGCACGTCACCAGTGTCAAACAATGCAAAACCCCGGAAGACCCCGGTCAGCGATAGTATGGTTATATGCGCTCAAATTTTCTCAAAAAAGCTCAGTTTCGAGCTGAGTCTCACAAAGATGGCCAAAGAAAGTGATTGTATACAGTTTCTGGACAGAGAACAGAGAAAACAGGGTAAAATGAGTGAGATCCGACGAGAACATCCTGCACTACCACCATCCCCGTCCGTAGCAAAACCACCCGCCCCACCGACACTTTTTACGGAATGACAAAAACTTTCTCCCGTCCCCAGTCTCAGGAGCCCGTCTCTGGTGCCGTTGAGGGCGTGCTTTCCCTCTCTATGAAGCGGAAAACGTGTGTCTCGGGCCACGTTGTCATCCTTAGCCGAGACCAGGGAGTGACCTCGTTCCGTGTCACCAAGAACAATGGCAAGCTCACTGCCGATTGTTTAATTGACACAGTCAACGAGTGGATACTTGTAACCTGTTTTCTTGGTTGTTGACCTGTTCATTGTCATCTATGATCTTAGGTCAGAAGCAGGCTCGACACACTCGAGGAGGCTAAGGCGGAGGCAGACGTTCTCAAGGACAGGCTGGATGCCGAAGAGAAGGTCAAAGTGGCGGAATGGGTGAAGAAGGCTAAAGATATCACGGTCAAACAGAACAAGGACGGGATCGCTTACATTTGGGTCCGAAGCGATGCTGCAGGCACAGAGAAAGAGGTCGAGGTGCTTTTGGACGATGATGACTGGCGCAAGTTTATGGGTGCTACGGCAAACGTGTGGATCTGGAATGGTCGACCTTGGCTCAAGTTTGATGGAGGAGGTACAACCTTGCTCGGTACCTCTGCAAGCCTCTTCCTTGGAAGCTCACGGATAACATCTATAACGTGCCTCTCAACAACAGGCGCAAGAATATTCGTGCAGCTACCCGAGGTGCAAACGGACAGAACATTGACAAGACGAGCAAGAGCGAATTCATGGGAGTACGCTGGTACCAGGAACGCTGGAGAGCCCAGGTATGCGTAGAAGGCGAAAAACGCGTGGCACAGACGACCTTCGAAGAAGTCAACAAGGCAGTTGAGCTGTACCATCTGGCCGTTTTGTCTCAGCACGGCGTCGGAGCCAGGCTCAATTTTGTGGAGAACCTCCCCAAATACCTAGGCATGCTAGAGCGGGACGCCACCAAGGAAGAACTCGCCGACTTCTTCCAGGATAGGCGAAAGGATCCTGTGCTCGGAAAGCGCAAGGATACTAGTAAGCAAGTATCGTACTTTCACCCGTTTCAAAGTAATCAAGTTCGTTTCTGGTACTTATCGCGATAGTGGTTGTAAAGGTGCGCTTCCCGTGAAACATGAACTCGGCGAGTCCGACCAGAACGCTCGCAACGGCCTTGATCGCAGTCCCACACATAGCCTGGACCGCAGAAAGGGGGTTGAGTCGGTCGGCACTCATTTCCTTGACGAGAGTAGTTGCAGGAGCATCTGGTGAACGGCTGCCAAGGATGGCATTGCCTCTGCTTAGCCTCGAGCACATTGGAGGAGGACTCTTCGATAACGCTTCGTTGGGCCAATTCGGCAGTAGGAGGAGTGACGGCGGTGGCACCGGGCGAAAGCACACCCATGAAGGAAAAGATCGTGGCCAAGGCCATAAAAGAAGAGATGCGAGCCATGAATGCGATGGGAGGGTGTTTGGTTGGGGAAGAAGTGGTGGGGGATCGGAAAGGGATGGAAGCTCCGGCCAGATCGTCGCTTCTTTTATGTTTTCGAGCTGCCTCGATGTCTAGCCTCGCGCACTCAATTTCTCATTCAGCACGCCTCAGCATGGTCATGGTCACGGCCATCACCACGGACATGGCCATCAGCAGCGCCACCACCACGGTCACAACTGGGGCCACCGCCATCATCGCGATATCGCTGGAGACAATACCGAGTTCATGAAGCGTGCCGACATTGAGGCCCGTGACTATCGTTACAAGGGAGACAAGAAGGGCTGAATAGGAAGCTATCGAGACGAATGTCTAGGCCGCTCAGCAAGGCGATCAAGCGCCTCCTTGGTCCTTTACGGCTCCGCTTCGGCCTTTCTTCGGCTTCAACTCCCTTTTCGCTTCACTCTCCACTCTCAATTCCGTCGCAGTTCTTGTTGTCTCTTGCTCCACTCGCCCATTCTGAATGCGCAGCTAGGTCCAACGCCTTCGCGTATCGAGCCATGGTTCAATCCCCTCTCCCTTTTTTTCAGTTTTGCATCGATCCCGAGCACCGTCGCTTCCCAGGCTCACGTGTATCCCTACTCCGATGTATCAACACGTTCTTATCATGTATCAGTTCATTGTGTCTTCCCATCTCATTTCTTCTATCCCAACAAGTTTCACAGCCGCTGTGACTTCTATGAGTTTGTCTTTTCGATCAGCGCGATTGGTGTAGGAAGGGTCGAGCTTCCATCTCGGTCTTGACCTTGCAAATCCTTGCGCAAAGCAATGAGAAATAACAGCTGCGCCGATGTAATTTGTTCTCTATGCAGGGCTCGAGCGAGCGTTTCATATTTCGGAAGGCGTAATACGATTGTCAGACACGACAGAGAGCAAAGGGAGTCAACACACGTCGTGGCTCTGGCATTGCAACCACTTGTATTTGCCACCGGAGCCTGGTCGCTGCACTCGGTCACACTCGTATCGGACCTGGAGACATCCTCACCGCTGATGAGACAGAGCACAGACCCGAATTTAGCTTTATAAAGAAAAGGTACGGCAATGAAGCAAGCAGGTGTCCGTGCGAGCGTACCTGATTGTCTTGGCATATATCGTATCTCGGCGGCTGACAATTTCATCGAGCTCGGGCCTGAATCAGGCTATCCTCCCATCCTTCATCACCGCATCGATCTTCGATCCTCACCTTCGCACATAAAACGATGTGCAGCGGCGTCAAGACCCGAACGTCAGCCTTTTCCGACACAATGCGGTTCGGCTAGCACGGTTCGCGCTTCATCTGTGCCTTGACACAAGGACTCACTTTGGCGATTGTCAGTCACTGGCGGAGTTGAGGCTGTGCTCGTTAGGCGCTAAAGCAAGGCAAAGGTAGGCACTTTGCCCCATATGAGCTCGAAGCTTGCTGGCGACGAGGACGATCTAGATCAGCCGACTTCTTCAGAAAGCCTCGACTGGCAAGAGGGAGAGAAAGTCACGGCAGGGATGCGGCAACGAGTCGGACTGAAGTCGAACTAGCTCGTTCTCGAAAAGCAACCAGCAGCCACCCCTCAGCTGAATGCTCGGAAAACCCTCAGTGGAACGCTTCTAGCAGCCATTTCGACCACAGAGCGTATAAGTATCGAGGGGAATGGAGCAACAAGAACAGATTCAAGACCATCACACTCACACTCTCCATTCCAACTCCGATTCACACCTCTTCACTACTCTTGTCTGCACAATTCTTATTCAACCCAAAACCTCAAGCACAACACTTCTTCTTACTCACACCTTCGCTCCTTGACAATATGGCTCGCCTCTCGTCCGCCCTCGTGATGGGTGTCATGCTCGCCATGAGTGGTGTCCTCATTGCCACCCCTGCCTCAGCCAAGCCTGTTCACGGCTCGAAGCTCGACCTCCAGGTCGAAGCCGCTCCTTACAGCAAGCGCAACCTCGAAGACTCGAAGCATTTAAGCCCCGAACTCGAGCGTCGCACTTTGGGTCTTGTTCCTGCTGCTGTCGGCCTTCTTGGCGGTGGCGTTGGTGCCGATGCTGATGTCAATGTCGGCATTGGTGGTCTCGTCGGTGCAAATGCTCACGTCGGCGTCGGCGTTGGTGATGGCCCTCGGGGACGTTATGGATACCCCTACCGTGGCTACCCGTACAAACACCATTCTTATGGCGGCTATCCTTACCCTGAACCTTATGAGCCTTACGGCACCGGATACTACCCTCGCGGTGGATCTGGTGGTCGTGGCGGTCGTGGAGGTTATGGCGGTCGTGGCGGACACGGTGGTCCTGACATTGACGACGATTGTGATGATGATGAAGACTACGATCAGCCTCGTGGCGGCTATGGTGGATCTGGAGTTCGTGGCGGCTATGGTGGATCTGGAGGTCGTGGCGGCTATGGAGGATCTGGAAGTCCTGGCGGCTATGGAGGATCTGGAGGTCGTGGCGGCTATGGTGGATCTGGAGGTCGTGGCGGCTATGGTGGACCTTACGGTGGCTACAAACACCATGGCGGTTGGTCTAGCAGCCCTCCTGAAAGCTATGGCGGTGAGGGTGGCAACGGTGGCGACGGTGGCGACGGTGGCGACGGTGGGTCTGGCGGTCCTGGTGCTCCTGGCGGCAATGGCGGTAACGGGGGCAACGGAGGCAACGGGGGCAACGGGGGCAACGGAGGCAACGGAGGCAACGGGGGTAACGGAGGCAATGGCGGAAATGGTAGCAACGGTGGTCGCGGCGGCGACGAGGACGACTGCTGATCGTCTCAGCTCATCCTTAAGCCTGCCATGCCTTCCGAATCTACAACCAAGAAGGCTCTATCATGTTCTGAAGACACGTATCATGTTTCTGTAACGCCCATGTCTCAGACTTTGCAATATCTCCGACCCTCTGAGTCTCGAACAATCAGCAATGCTCATCGTATCTCGCTTCCTTGCGTGTGCGCCTGTAACTGAGAATGTGGAAGGGTCAAGGCTCAAGCTGAGAAGCGGTCAGCCGAATGTAGTCGATTAAGGTTGTCGACGTCAACTTCATCAAAAGCAGTCCTAGCTGAATTTCAGGGTCCAAGCACAGGTCGTGTGGGTGTTGGTCTGCGAGCACATGGGCAGTCTTGCTTCACTTCTTAGAGCTTCGAAAATCTTCTCAAGCAACAATCATCCTTCGTCTGACACTCCACACTCACTTTACCCCTTCATGCCAAGATGGCTCGTCTCACGGAGA